AGACACCGAGTTGTCTCGGAGAGCTGAGAAAAGAGAGTCAGCAGCAGAGTTACAGAGTTTGGGGTAAGAACTGAATTAGAAGACCCCAGACTCCTTTGAGACCCCTCCTGGAAAGGAGGAAGATGATGGACTCTTACTTGAAAGAGCCTTGGAGTGCTACAGCACTTGCAGAAAGGAGCTAGAGAGCTCCGAGAGGAATGCGGAGAGGGTGACCTTGGAGCCCTCCCTTGCTGCAAGCTACAAAGAAGCTCGCAGCCATCTTGAGGCACGGCACAGAAGCTCTGCAAGGGGCTTTGCATCCCCTGAAGATACCAGACCGTCACGAAGACCCCCTGTGCTCGTGATATGACCGTGGTGGAACGACCTTTGTCTGGGGTGAACGTAGCCCACGGAAGACCCCTTTGCCTGCGTCAAGGGGCCGAGAGAGGCTTGGAGGCCTCCCTCATGAGTGCCGGCAGAAATCCAGCTATCAGCTGCTGCATGCATGAGAAGAAGAAAACCTGCTGCCTTAGAAGATACTGCTGCTCAGAGACTGGAAAGGGATCTCTCCTTCTTCCCTTCTGGACTTTTATTTGGAGGGGAGAAGAGATCTGATCCATTGTAAATACTTATGACATGGTAGAGATAGTTGTGATCGTGTGTATAATGTATTATAATATTTATTTGTACAGTCATTGTAATATATTCCCTTTCCCCCATTCTGAGTCTCGTGTCTTGTCTGGAAAAAAACCCCACATCTTATACTAGGTTGAGATGGGGGAGGAGGGCTTAGACTAGGGAATTAGAATTTTGGGGATCTCAAACCATGACAAATGGTTATTAAACACACTGTAATGAAACACCCTGTGGCAGTTCAGGAATGCTGAGTAACAATGTGTGTGCCTGGTAGAAGGCATAAATAATTGCTATATTGCCCATCCTTTTCCCTACAACTGTTTGAACAGAAGATTAAGAGATTTGAAAGGAAAAAAAAAAAAGGACAAAATGTACATAATATGATTGAGTGCTTTTTGTACATGTTTAATGTTGGAGAGGCATTTATATTTAGTTATTTTGATGTTTTGGGAAGAATGACATTTAAATGGGGTTTTTTTAGTGAACATGAAATCATAATGCAACCCCTGTGCACCATGTCTGAAGCAGACAGAAAGCTTAATTGTTAAAATTGCTCAAATCCATCTGGACAAACCAAATTAATATTTTCCTTCCCAACATACTAAGAAAAATAAGCTAATAGTAATAAGAATAATATTTTAATATAGATGAAAATTATAAGATGATTGAGTTTTGTTCAAAAAAACTGTTTGTATTAAAATACACATTTAAAAAATAATTTACAGAACAGTAATCATTCCTGGGTGGTAGTGTGTATTCACTGCCTTCTAACTGCAAAGTTCTCTCCTTTGTGTGCTCAAAAAACAATTGATTTAGAAAGAGGTGGATGAGAGTTGTAGAGGGTATAAGTGCCTTAACAGAGAATCATTGTATGGCTTAGTGCTATATTCCAATTCAGCTCCACTTTCCTTGCATAATATTATAATACTATATGTAATATAATAACATTATATAACAACATTAATAATAATAAAGTATAGCATCAAAGCATAACTTGTGTTGGAAGGGGATGCTGTAGATCACCTAGTTTAAAACCCCTGCTTGAAGCAAATCCAGTATGGGCAGTTGCCCAGCATCTTATCCAGCTGGATTTCTAGTATTTCCAAGGATACAGACTACCCAGCATCTCTGAGCAACCTGTTCCAGTGTCTGATGATCCTCTTAGTAGAAATTTTTTCCTAATACCTAATCAGAATTTCTCATATACCAGTTTGTATTCATTGCTTCTTGGCCTATCCCTGTTCATCTTCAAGAAACATTTCTTGAATATTTCTTCTTCTATGTACTCTTCCATTAGGTTTTCTGTAGACAGGAGCAAGATTTGTCTTAAACCTCCTTTCAACCTTTTCTGCCCTCAGCCAGCTTCATGACCACAACCTACTCCAGTACATCCACTTCTTTCTGAGAAGTCCAGACTTGGACCTGTCACTCCAGCTGTGTCTCATCAGAGCTGAGCAGATGGGAAGGATTTCCTCCCTCAGCCCCTCAGCAACACTGTACCTACTGCAACCAGTAATGCCATTGGCCTTTGTCACTGCAAGGACATGGTGTTGTCTAATGTGGTGTCTGCATAGACCTCCAACTTCTTCCAAACTGCTTCCCAGCTGATTGTCTGACAGCTTATACCAGTGCCTGGGTTTATTTGTCCCCAGTGCCGAACTTTGCATTTCCATTGTTGAATTTCGTGAGAATCCCATCATAAGAAAGAACATCATAAATCTCTGTCTCATTTTCAGTATTTATTCATTATCTTCAGAAAATGCTTTTCCAAATAATCAATGGCATGTATTTATGCCTCAGAAACATTGAATCTTACTTGATTTGATAAACCAGGTATTCTGAAAGAAATAATCCTTGGTAGTCTTTACTGACCTATGTCTTCATGATTTTAATTCTTGTCTCCAGTATTATGGAGTTTAAAAGACAATGTTATAAAGCTGAGATAGCAAATAAACTTTCTGATTTCTATCTCTGTCAAAAATGGCTTAGACCTTCTCTAAATGATGAAATTTAAATTACATGTTTATTACAAAGACATTTTGCAAACCTCAGACCATGTACTCAAAGGAGGAAGCTGTCAGGCAATGTGAGAGAAAAGAACTAAATTTCCTAATGGTCAAGAAAAAGCTACAGGTAGCCAAGCCAAGCTACATGAAAGAGCAATTGTTTGATACAGTTTATTTTCATGCCTAAATAAGGGACTGACTTAGCTGAGCATGAGCTATGGAAATGTTTTAAAATATTTTCTTTTGTAGTTTTTACTAATTTTCTATAAGATGTATTCTATTTTTTTCATAGAATCTACATGTATATCTCTTTATATAAAGAAAAATTGTTAATTTATACTCGGAAAAAGGCAGGTGGTCATTTTGTGATTGGCATTAACACAGGAATTTACACATCCGGTAGCTGTACCACAACTAATGTAAAAATGGCCAAAACACCATACAGCATTTTTGTTCCTGTAGTTAAAAGGTAACCAGTGCAACATTTAAGGCTGTTAAATAATAACACACGGTTTGCTGAATCCAGTTCACGTTAATTAATTACTTCACACATGACATACATGCAGTAGTGTCACAAAAATATGTCATGAATAGTAGCTAATGTCCTGGAAAATAATAACATATCTTTACTGAATCCTGTTTTAGCTCTGACAATCATACCCTTCCTTTTTCCCCCTCCCTCCCATGCTCATTGAGAAGTGTTTATCATACATATAAAGAACAGTACATTTTGCTGTACAGGTGTCACTGTTCTTAGGGTGAAAGTAATTTCTGTTTGAAACGTAAATTCAGTTCAGTGTCTACCTATTGTTGATGAGATATTCTGGGAACACTTAGTTATGGTAATATCAATTATTTTTAATTAAATCAATTAGATCATTTAGGTTCAGTATGTACCTGAACGTAATATACCTGGGAATTAATTATAAGCCCCTTCACTTTCCTCAAAATATCCTCTCTCATCTTTCACTCTTTCAATGTGATTAGGAGCTGAGTAGGAAATCAACAGAGACCAGGCCTGAGGGAAACACACCTGCCTGGCTAATCTGATAGATCTGATGAGAAATGTGATATTGTCAGCTGTCATCTGAGAGAGCTGAGAGAATTTTATTTTCTGGGGAGAAGTATGTGTGTATCTGTGCTTTTAGTTTTAATTTATTTGGGGGTTTATTATTATTATTATTATTATTATTAATAATAATAATAATAATAATAATAATTTTTAAATAGTTACTTAAAAATTTGAGCCAGAAAAATGGTTGTGACAGAATCACAGCTTTCCCCTTCTCATTTCCTGTTTCCTGTGCAGCATAGCAACCTGATAGCCTTTGCCGTGGGGATTCAGAGGAGACTGTATACGACTTAAATTTCTGTCTCCAAGCAGACAGACAAGCAGGATGAGCTGGCATTATTTTCACTTTTCTCATTTTCCTTGTTCTGGTAGAGCCAGCCTGGCAACATGGAGCCTGTCACCTGCCCCAGGAGCAGCAGCAGTGGGAGGAGCTCACTCCCAGCTCCTTGAAAAGGTAAGACAGCTCTGCAGTTAAGTGGAAGAAGATATTACACAGCCAACAGCAGGAACTATGCTTATGGGCTGCTCCTAAGAATGAAAGGAATAAAATATCTGTCAAGTCTACCTGATTACAAACAGCAGCCTGCATGGAGTTCTGACTCCCCACTGACAACTGTGCAAAGTGGAGGAGGATTTGTCCTTGCATTCACTTTGGTTTGGGAATTGTCTGCAGCCACTGTGGGACCCCTCCAGGGGCTTCTCTGAACTACCTCCACCCTGTTTCCTATGGAGAAAGAGACAACATGTGCTCCATTCATGCACCTGCCACATCAAACATATCTCCACTCCTTTCTTGCTCTCTTTTCTTCTAATTAATGCTTCTTTGATTTGTTTTTAACATACACCAAGGTTTGATACATATCGTTATGTCATTGATCTTGTGCTGTTGGAGTTTAAACCTCCTAATTTTCTTTTACGGTCAACAGACTGCATTTTGAGATTTTGTCTAGAGTTAATATTAGGATAGATGTCTGTTAACATTTCATATAGAAAATTATATTAGTTCTCCTGTCCTAAGCATTATAAAAAATATGATCACTTCCATATGAAATTTTATTTTAAACTGAGTTTAATTTTTTCATGATTGAAATGAAATTCATCACTGAGAATGGCTTTTTATGTATGATAACGAAATTGTGGTAAAAAAGTTTACAAAAGTTATTTACCCATCGTGCATCTGTTCAATTCTGCCACTGAATGAAGGAGATTTTTCTTTGTTTCCATTTCCCTGAGAAGCCACTAAAAATACACAGCACCAGTAGGTAAAACTAAGACAATACTTCAGGTAGTGGGACTGGTGTACTTACTAGTTCTGAAACACTCGATGCTACCAATAGTTTTCAGTTAAGCAGAGGATATCAACTGTGATACTAAAAAAAAAATAAAAATAAAAGTGTCACTGCATACCTTCAACAAAATAAAAAGAGAAAAAGTATAAAAGAGGTTTTGACTGCTACAAATCGTCCCAGATTTCCCAAATTTTACAAGTTTTCTATGTAATGGCTTGGTGAAGACATTGGAGTAAAGGATACCTGAAAAGAGGGATGTGACAGAGATGTATATTGTTTGCAGACATGCAGAGCATACAGCAAGAGCGAAAACTGCACTTGTTTTTCCAGAAGCACAATTGAACGCATTTGCAGTAGAAGCTAATAATATGCCATTAAATTTTGCAAATTTTTTCAATTAAAATTTGAACATAAGTTGGTGAGGTAAAATAACAATGTTAATGTTGAAGGGAAAGCAGTGGAAAATAGAAATTAAATGCATGAAACTTTAGCTTGCATGGTTGATCTTATTCCTGCTGTGCAAGTGTTGGAATTAACTGAATGCATAGTATGAAAATACATTACTTATGATTCCAGCGAAATGGAATTTTACCTTGTAAAATTAAAGCATTCCAAACAAATTGGACAATTTGAAAATTATAAGTTCATGGCAATTGAGGAAAAAAAAATTAATTCCCTTTCAGTTCTTCAGGTCTACAGGAGTTAAAAGCATAACAAATGCAAAAATCACGTATTTGTTAAACTCTAAAGTGAAGCTGCTGGAGGACATTCCTCAACAGTTATAGTTAAACCCAAAGAGTCCACACAGTGAATACACTCTCTAGATATTGCTACTATTATCCAACAGTGCTGTGGAAGACACAAAAGGAAAACAGATTTTCTTATTCCAATTCCAGTGCTGTCTGTATCAAAATTCCCTGAAACAGAGAACTCATATCCTAATATATTGGACCCATGAAATTTCTGGAAGAGTAAGAGTGTCACTTTTGTCTTTCATAAATAATGTCTTTAATTTTATTGCACATGCTCTGCTGCTGTCTGTGTTGTACGTAATTATGTCAAAGTTGCAGCATATTATATGTATTTGTATTTTGTATTTCTGTGTCTAGACATGCTAAATTGCATTGTATTTTATATTAAGAAGATTTACTGTGACAAGGCTCCTTATGAAGCAATTAAGCATACTGCTGTGTATCATAAATATGAAGTGACAAGTCAGAAAAGTGGCATGTCACATCAAAAATATATACAGGCATTTGCCAAATAACAGTCTGGCTAAGAGAAGATAGATCCTTTAAAACATTTTTCTATCTGTTGTTCCACAGGCAGAGAAAACTTAACATTAGAAATTACCTGTGATCTAGCTCAATCACCATTTCTGGCCATCAGAAAAAATGGTGGTTATGATGAAGAACTATGAATAAGAAATGAAAGTTATTCAGAATGACCCCACTTAAACGTATCCTTATGTCTCAACATGTGTCTTGCCTCAGGCAGTGCTTACAAGTTTAAGGGGAAAGCAGTGAGGGAGAAGGACTTTTTTTTTTTTTAATTGAAGCAAATACAACATGAAGCCAGCTGTGAAGCTACATCAGATACATACATATCACCATATGTACCCATACCATGGGGACATGAATGTTCAGCTAGCTGTGTAAGTAGGCCCATCATGGAGACCAGGGCATGAATCCTGCACACAGCCATAGAAGTAAATCCAGCGCATAGTGCATTTACACTGAAAATTATACTTTCATGAATGAAAAATCAAAAGAATTAATTATCTGAGTTTGAGAGCAAACAAAACTATTGAATATATTCACCGTCATTCTTATTTGATTGAGTTCTACACTTATTTTGTTCACTTTGATTTTTTTTTATTAATTTGGTTTATCTACTCACTGTCCTTTATGTTTAAATACATGGAAATAAACAAATCTCTTATAACAAAAATAAGTGTGGCAGAAACATAATTTACTTCTTTACAAGTAAGTTTATCCAATTATTTAACAACTAAAATTTCTGACAACAAAATAAAATTTACCATGGTAGGCCTTACTTACTAAAGGTACTACCCTTTTGAGACTGCTAACCAGAGAAATATAGTCATTATAGAGACCTTGAAAAACAGGTGAAATTCTTAGTAGAGAAGTATAAAACAAATTACAGCAATCAAACTACCATCACAACAATATGCACACTGATTTTTTTTTTTCAAAATTTGATTTTAACATGATTCAGGTTAACATTTTAACATTAATCAGGTTAAAAACTAGTAATATTTAAAAATAGACTATTTTTAAAAAAGTGAACCTTGTTATAATTGCTGGTTTTGTTATGGACTTTGTGTGTGTGTATGTTTATTTATTTATTTTCACTTCTGGTTTAGAGATTTTTGCAAGAAAATAGGTTGTCCCTTCCTTCTGGTTGCCCTGAAATATTTCTTCTCTCTACACACTTCTAAGTCTGTGGTAACAGATCTTCCCAGCTTCTTTTAGTCATCAGCTCCGAAAGTTTACAGTAGCTATTAGTGCACCTCCACCACAGAATAAAAAGATGATAAATTTTATTTGCTCTTAAAAATAGTGTTATTCCCCATAAGAGTAAAATCTTTAGTATAAGGCAATTTATATCTCCTTATGGTATCAGTAATAGTTTACAGCTGTAATAATCTTGGTTTCACCTAGTGAAAAGCCCTGCTGGATGAACCGGATTTTGTAACGTAATAATATGCCAATGAGCTGAATTACAGACCTCAGGGAAATAAAACCCTAAAAACCTACAACACCACCCCGTTACCCCAAAAAAACCCAACAAAACAAAGCAAACAAACAAACAAACAAACAAAAAAAAACAAACCAAAGAAACTCCCAAAAACCAAACCCAAAACAAAACCAAAAAAAAAAGGCCAACCCAACCAACTAACCAACCAAAACCCCAAAACCCAAACAAAACCATGCAAACAAGAAACCCAACCAAAGCAAAAATACCCCATCAAGTCTCTCCTCATCCCCCCAAAAATAAAACTCACCCTTCCAAATAAAAACCAAAAACCCCTACAAACCCTGAACCTATCCAGGTATATTATTATAGGCAGACTTTTGATGTCTGAGAATACAGTATCAAGGGAAATGTAATACATCTAACTTATCTGGACTTCAGAAAAGTACCTGATATAACTCCTCATGGGATATTATTTGTTAAATTAGGGGTTAGCAAAAGAATTCTAAACTACTGAATTGTCTAGGGAGTCAGATTGTGGTGAAAGGATAACTGGCTGGTTGGCAGGAGGTGACCGGGACAGTTTCTTAAGCTTTGGGCTTGAAATTTATCATTTTTAGTATTTTTATTAATGGCCTGGTACAGAAGAAGAATCAGACTAATAAAATATGCTGACAACATAAGGCTATAATGCCCACTCCAGTCAGAAAGAAGATGAGAAAACCACACAGGCAACTATATGACCTTGAAGATTGAAGTAATACAAATGGGATGAGATTCAGAGAATAATAGAATCCTTTAGGTTGGAAAAGACCTTTCAGATCATTGAGTCCAGCTGTTAACCCAGCACTGCCAAATCCACCAAAATTCAAAAGCGTATTGTGGAAGATTGTACACACATGGATAAGGAAAAAACATTGTTAAAAGCTCAGAGCTCATCAATTATATGTGTCAGTGAATGAAGAAAAACCATGGACAATCCTTAGGAATAGCATACTTATATATCTGAAACACTGCAATTGTCGTTATATATATAAATATATATAAACATAGGTATTTGTATGTTTGTATTTTACTTATATATATATAATATATGTGTGAATATGTATGTATAAAACAAAAAACCCAGGAGTGAATCAGGTACTGTTTTTCAAGCATAACAGGAAAATATTTGTGTTGTTGTGCAAGATACTGGTAGAAATTAATAAGTACTGGTACATAAATGCAATTTCCAAATTGTTGTGAATGGACATGCTATCTTTAAGCCTCAAAATATTTGGTGTACTATCAATATAACCACATACACTCCTGAGTTCTTTTGTTACTATTCAAATTAGAACTGATAATTAGGACTGTTTGGGTCATCTGCAGACCTCTGAATACAGGCTGATATAATTATGGTATATAATGATATCATTTATTAGCAAAAAACTCAAACTCATAAGGATAGAGAAAAGCTAGTAAGATCATCGGGGAATAAGGAAGCTATCGTATGAAAATTAGTAAGCAATACAAAGACTAAGGAGACTAAATCTAGTAAATAGTTTGGGGCAATAAAACTCCAGGGAGAGAGAACTATTTAAGCTAAAGAACAACATTGGTACAGATCAAATGGGAATAAATTGGCCATGAGGAATTTAGGCTGATAATTGAAACATGATTTAAAGCCACAAGAGTAATGAATTCCTACAACAGTTTCAGGAGAAATGAAAGTAAAAAACCACAAAACTTTAAGATTGTAGTTTCACCAATGGATGGTGGAAATTATGCAAGGGGGAAGTTTGGGGTGCAAGACACTGAACCTAACCCAAGGTACACTTCATTTTAGGTTATTTGGAGTTCAGATCACAAGGCTTAAGTGCTTACCTGTCTTTACCTGAAGTCTGAATAGTAGGATACAGGTCTCCTGACTTTACACTTCCGATCTTTCTGCTTAGCAGCATAAGACTTCAATGAATCCTTTTGGATTCAGGCTGCAATCAATAAACATAGGTTTTACAAGTGAGTCCAAGGTATTCTTGTTCTGGTGTTGTTCTGAGTTAATGCTGCTGGGAGTCAGCAGTTTCCCTCCCACTTTCCTTTACTTTTAGAAACCGCCAAACTCACTACAATAATTTACTCATCTGACACTTCACCAGTTGTCAAATAATTATTTAATCAAGAGAAAAGCAACACTCATCTTTAAATTTACTACTAATCAGGAACTAGAAAGATGTTACCTGTTCATGTTTGTGTAAGGACTATGACAATTAATGTGTATTAATTGGTAAGAAATGTTAGTTACTACTACAGAAGCAGTAGTTTCACTTAATGAAGCACGGCTGGATATACTGGCTAAAGGAGCAATTGACCTGGCTACTCCTTTTTGCCTTTGCAACATATTCCATCTTTTACATACGTGTGCTGACACAGTGAATTCTGCCTTCAGTCAGCTCTTTGCTAAAAAAGCAATTAGCTGCCAACCATTGATCGACATCTGGAAAATGCATCAATTTTTGAGACTATATTTATCACATTTATCAGGTATTGCAAATGAGTAGCAACTCATAGGGGCTTTTCCACATGCCTTTTATTTCTTTGCACACAGAACGTATTACACATGCAGCCTTGAGTACTGATCCAGAGTGAACATTGTTCCAAGAAGCTGGTTCCAGCTCACACATCTTATCTCCTTTGGTATATATTGTGTAGTTAAATGTTACTGTAAAAAATGTTTAAAGTTGCAACGGCAAATATTCAAAAACTAGCAAACCCAGACTTGATTCAAACTCTTTCTTTTCTGTATATTTAACAACAAGTTTGCATACATTTTCTGCATCTTTGTGCTTCATTTAAGTTTTAGGGTACTCTGTGCTCTGAAGATGAAATAGATATTTGCTCAGGCCCTACATATCCAGACTAATCCTATCTCTCCTTTCGAAAAAATGTTTAGCTGTGATAGAAAGATAAAAACCTCTAATTTTCTGCTTGTGTAATTCTCTTCTCCAGTATAGTTTAATAGTTGATCCTTTAAATGATGCAGGAATTCGAGTCAGATAGAGTGAGGTGAAAAAAGCTACTTGCATGCCTAGAGACATATATGCTGGTAAGATTTGCTGAGCTCAGGACCTAAAGTAATTTATCTACTCTGTTCAATGAGGCTGAAACACAAATATGAATTAAGATTCAGATTGTGCAACAGAAGCAGATTTCAGGATCATATTTTTCCTTTGTTTTTCTTTTATTATATTTCAGCACCTAATTATATCTGTTATATAATTTTCCTGGTGTTCAAATAGCATACTGAATTACAGGTTTGTAAGCAATCAGATTTCTTATGAGATTAAGTCACAGGCTATAGCAGTTGAACACATAGCTACAAAGAAATGTTTATTATTCAGGTTTTTGGATAGAAAATTTGTATAGGAATTAAATTATACTATAAAACCAAGTTAAACCATAATTTTCCTTCTGCTTTTAATTTTAAACATTTCATAAAAAGAACACATTTACAATACGACCTAATTAATTTAGAAGCTATTTCTTTAAAAATGTCTGTAACAGCAACAGATGGCAAGACGAAAAAGAACAACAAAATCCTGTTTTGAATATCATCCAGTTTGACAAAGAACCAGCTGCTATAGTAAGTGGTGTCAACATCTAAAATGTACTTTAAACTGCAACTCACTTAGATCCATTAAATGCAGAATGCTTTAAGGAATACAAGTTCGTGGTGTGTTCTTGTCTACAACTATGCTACCTACTATTTTCTATATTATCTGATGACTGTCAACACTTGTTATATTAGTAAGGACAGATAGATGGAAGAGTAACCATACCTACTTTTACAAACAAAAAGAAGTTGCGGATACTGTATGTAATATAGACAAAATAACCTAAATTGTAACCTAATGTCATCTAATGACTCCCTTTCTTTAAAAGCTAATTAGAAAATGTGCTTCAGCTGCTTTTTAAAAAAATGTTAGTATTCCTTTTCTTTGCAGCAAAGGACCTTTTAGAAGTAGGTATTTGTAACATAGATTTAAAATTTTGCTGTTGTTATTTCTAATGTATTATATTGTATTATCTGATACAATTCTTACTTTTATTAGGATAAGCTAAAACACAGTACATTGGTTTTGGCTTTACATTGGAGCCTGCTTGTTTGAATAAAGCAGTTTACTCTCCTGTTAGATTTCATTTTAACTTCCTTGGGCTCTGTCAGGATATTGAAAAGTTTGACTAGAGGGAAATCACATTTCTTTTACAATCAAGAATTCTGTCACAGTCTTTAAAGTACAGCCCTGTACTGGGAGTTCTGTCCCAGAGGAAGCTCAAGAACCATAGAAGGTCTCTAATCAAAAAGCAAAGAAGAAAACTATGCCTAAGCCTGGGAGAAAGATGTCATTGTTATGTGTAGCAGCCTGTCAGTGGGCAGACAAGGAATTGCTGACAAATATCCAAAGGTAGTCAAACTCCAAACATGCTGGGTTGAGAGGATCACCAATTCACACTGCAGGCCAGCAACAATGCTGGAAACATGACAGATATTGTGATTCTCAGCCTTAGGAACTATACAACACTAATTCTCTTAGCCTTCCTTACCAGTTTTACAGAACATGTAGTATGGGGATTGCATAGAGAAAGAAGAATGCTCTGTTTCCCTCACATATGTGCTGGAGAATGTGGCTTAGCCTTCATTTTTCTACAAATTGACAACAGCAATCATGCAAGGATAAGCCTGCTTTCAGATCTTATTAGCAGTCCTGGGAGTCTAATTCAAAATCTAAAGGTTCCACACTAAAATGTAAAACAAAATTAGTTTGGATCTCCACCAAAATCTCAGAAAGAAACAAATCAGGAAGAACTATCAATTTTTCAAAAATTATACTGAAGATTAAAAGAAATAAAATTAAAATTAAAAGATGTTACTTTCCCCCCCCAATTATAGAAAACAGCCCCTGAAAACCTCCCTATAGCAGCTCTTCATAATTTCTTCTTTCTCCATCAGCTACTAACTGACTGCACTGTACTAACTGAACCCTGTGGTACTGATGGGCTGCACAGATGCAAAATTAGCTAGAAACTTTCAGAAAAATAATTACCATGAGAGATATCACTTTATTAAAAGACAAAGGTGTTGCATTTTATATATTTTCAATATAACTTAAGGCAATCAGAAGTCAGGGTTCCCACTGAACCATTGTATCAAACCTCCCCACCAAAGTGCTCCTGCTACAGTGCCTTTAGCACTCCCAATGCCTGGGAGCATGGACATCAGGCATCTCTGGGCAGCCTTCCTGTGGTAATTCCTTTGGGTGGAGAGACCTATACCTTCATCTTAGAACAGCCACCTGACAAACCCAGTGCCACCTAGTAAGGAACATGCACTTACAGTGGTGTCTCCCAGCCTTGTCGCAGGTTGGAAGAACCTACAGAGTCACAAGAAATGAAGGTATCAGGGTGTTCAGGCTGCTTGATGCAGGAATTGGGATTTGGAAGCTGGGAAACCTGCGCTAGGCCTAAGGTTTGGGAATCCCTCCACGTATCCTTCCAAACAGCATTTCCTAGGTGAATTTCAATAGCCTGATTAGTCATTCACCTCCCTTTAGTAAAAAAAAAAAAAATGGAAAAAAAACCAGAAAACCCCAATAGATTTATTCTTCAGATCGAAGGCAAGCATTTTATTGTCAATCTGGTTTACAAAAATTCTTTTAACTGAGTATTTTTTAAAGTGTTTTTTTTTCAAGCAGATTAAATCATCACCAGTATTTCCTGTGTACTGAAAAAAATGAATTTTAGTAATCTGTAAAGAAATTTTTTCTTCAATCTAACCTACTGCTTCATCTACTTGCAGATACATACCCTTGGAATATATATCTAATTGAGTAATGTAGAAGCAAAAAGCTTGCACATCATACCTTTAAAATGATGGAGAGGATTCGTTCTTGAAGACAAGAAAAACATCTCAATTATTCAGTGTAAAAAAGGGAACAAATAATCTGGAAAGTGTACATCATAGATAATGCAATGTGCAAGTTTCGAGCTGGCTTCCCGCCAAGTCTCTGAAACTTGACAACAGGGTCTGCTTCCCAGAGAGGGGAGGAAAAAAACCAAGCAGACAAAGCTATAGCAAAAATATATATTTTACATATGAAACAGATATATACAGTGAGAATATTATATACCTATAACCCCAGAAACCCTAAATAGCTTCCTAAAGGGAAGAGGGGAAGGGAGAAGGGAAAAAGGACAAAATGAGACGAAAAGGGACAAAACCAAAACAAATCTACACTATCTAAAAACCCAGTAACCAGCAAACTGAAGAACTGGCAAAATCTCACCATTTCCCTTGAGAGAAGCAGGACAGCTGGACACGTCCCAGCACTCTCCCCTCACGTGTGGCAGACAACAACAGTCACTGTAGGTCTCAGCTCCAGATAAGCAAGACGGAGACAGGGACCCACCGTTCTCGAACCTCGCCGGAAAGGAAGAGCGCGAGGTCCCTTCCGGTGGCTTTAATTATACCTCAAGTTATGTAAAGGAATAGCATGGAATACTTCTGTAGTCACCTTCCTAGTTCCTTCCTGGTTACAAGCTGGTCTCCAGAAAGGCCTAGAGTGAAAACTATCACATTCAAAGCAAATGTATACTATTTTGTAGGACAAGAGACTGCTCTGCAGAGAGACCAGGAAACACAGAAATTCCTGGGCTAATGTTTTCTCAAGCAAGTCCATCTAATGTTCTTTCAAGACCCATGTGTAATCACACCAAATTTGGTCTGCTTGGAAGGCTGACACATGAAAATGGTGTCATCATTGCAGACTTTTTGTCACTTTACAGAGATTATGGCCATTTAATGTGACCAGCTGTCTGGTACAAGCAGACAGAGAAGATCAAGAACAAGTGAACTGCTCTTTAACTTCATTACCAGACTAATAGCATGATTTTTATAACTTTCTTGA